CATCTTAAGTTTTCGGTAAAATAGCGCTGTTTTAGATTAAGCTTTTCTTATAAATCGTTTCTAAATATATGTTACTAGCTAATAATTACCTTAATTTTTACTACTGGCTATAGATGCATTATTTGTAAATTTTTAAAGACAACAAGAGCGAGATATCTAATAAGGCCTAGGCCTTATTTCAGCATGGTAGGCCATATTAGATACTTATGTTAACACCTGATTACGGACAAATTCATTAAACTAAATGAGTCAAAGAGTAACAAAATATTTATTTAATAAGAATGTTACTAACAGCACAGAAAAGAAAAAGAAAACAGTGTCAAAAAAAATTACAAAACCTGTAAAAAAAGAAACAAAATACAAAAACAATAAAAAATAAGAAAAAAGAAGCCGTATGTATAATTCTTAAGGAAAGAAGAATAAAAGCTGGTATTATCATGCCTGTTTCGAAGACAAAATAGCAGATACGCCACCATAAATGACTGCTTTAGGTGGTATCACAAGTATTGTGTAGGAGTTCGCAAAGATGATTCAGAAGCCTTTTTATGCCCTGGTTCTAACAAAAATTGATATCTCATTTTGTTTACAAAAATTCAAGACTAAATGATGTTCCTAAACTGATTTATTTAAAAGGTTTTATGTGTAGGCCTTATTCGAACACGGTGTTTTAATAAGCCCTATCCAAAAAACAATATTGATTGTTTTTGATATTTTTTTTGATAATATTATGTAAGGAATCGTTACTTTGTTACTATGAATATTTAATTTTATCTATAATTTATGTATAATTCTTAATAAGTGGAATTTAAGTTTATCTAGAGATGTACAGCATATTTCTGTTTACTTGATAAGTAAAATTTTGATAACGCAAACAAATCGACGTGTTTAATGTTATAAGACCGTATTTTGTTTAATACAACCTGAATTTTAAGGTCTAGAGGCATTTGAATCATGTAGGCCTTATTCCGTGTAGGTGATTTAATAAAGCCAAAATCAGTGGTTTCGTAATTTGCTTATTTTGAATAGATTTAGTTAAAAATTGTGTTATTTTTTGTAATATTGCTAAAATCAAAGGATGGAAGAAGATAATTAACCTTGTTTTTGTTAATTGGCGTTAATATTTATTGAATTATAAGCATTTCAAGTTAGGTAGGCCTTATTTGTATCAAGTACCTTATTAGTATAGACTAGCTTTTGCCCGCGGCTTCACCCGCGTGAAATTTAGTGCCTATATGTTAAGAGCGTTTACGTCTAGCGTGGCATGTCAAGTTTAGGTAATTTCGATGCTATTTTTATTCACACTAAAATAATTGTGGCTGTGTGCGTGTTCTCACGCTCTATAGTCAAACCAAAATACTTTGATCCACCATCGTAAAAGTGTGCCAGGCTGTCAAGTGACAGCTCAAGGAAACTATAAAATCTTCAAATCTTCCAACACCGACTCCATAATTATAAATAATGGTATACATTAGTCCTAATAAATAATCAATACGTAAATTCTTTATCAAATAGTAAATTATCAAAAGTTTTTTACTATTTTGAGAATGTTTTGTACAGCCTATGTTCAGCAGAAAAAAATTTTTATGGTGAGATCTATTCAAATCGGTTCTATTCAAAACAAACTTTTCCTGTTAACTATTCTTTTTTTATCCGGAAAATGCATAACATTTCATACCCACCAGAAGGTGGGTAGCCCCTACACCCACTAAAAACCTGACTGTTTCTGCCATGATCCATATGAGTGATATGATGAGGGAACGCGGGACATCGCCATTGGCTGTTGCCTGTAGCATTCGTCCTTAGCCGCCACCAGACACCTCCATGTCTAGCGACCGAGGCCTGTTAGGAAGGGACAGTTGGAGACCATAAGCTGTCCTTTTGCGCCCAGGGTGTCGGCGGCGGATAACCGGAGTGTCGGCTGAGGCCTCTCGCTCCCCCTTTCCACTGCTTCTTTCACAGAAAGTAAGCACACTATACCATCCGATTATTTAATTTTGTCTCATAAGAATATATTTTATACTAATGTAGATATTGTTTCCGAAAGCGAGCGGGTTCATTCCGTACCTTTACGCTTCATGCGTTCTCTAGCAAAAGCTGAAAATCAGTGTTCTGCCCTTTTGAGGGTAGTGTTTATACTGAGTTCTTTGCTTTTTGCATCGCTGCGGCACACATCACTCTGACGCAGGGAACTATTTGAAACGCTAGTCATCTTTATCTTCTGTTGTTTCGTCACTTTTGTTATGTTGCAACTGTTGAAATTATTACTAACCTGTGTAACAAAATACCAGTGGTGTCACCTAGTGTGTTTCTTGACTAACTTTATTTCGATATTGAATTGAATTTCAATAGCAACTATACATAATGTGTGTGTTAAAAGCATTAAAAAGTGTGTGTTACAACAAATAAACAATTTATTTATCTATCTCACGCCTCTTCCCGATTGGTAGGGAGAGGTCATTTCCAACCGCCGCTCGTTCGCTTAGGCTAGGCACTGTTGGAGCGTGTCAGTCAGCTGCGGTGACTCACGCTGGGTCGCCTTATGTGTGAGGCGATCATGCCGTCGCACCCACTCCTCTAATACAGGCAGAACTGCCTCTATGGTGCGACGTAAAATTTGGCTGACAGCCAGGCGTACCCTTCAGCACTCTAGGGCCTAGATCCTCAAGCCTCTACCTTTTGGTTTCCACCTATCGTGGTGCACGTACACGTACATTTCCCCATGGGACCTATGGCCACCTCGCAACTGGCGTCTATTCTCGGTTGTCGACACTAGCTTTGAGCCACTGAGCATAAATGGCATAAATAATATCGATTGTCACCAGTGGCGACACATACTTTCCCAGTTGTAGCTACAGGCTTTCTCACAACTTATGACAAATTATAAAAATACATCCCAATTATGCCTAGTGCCAATACGTACACAAATATTGACGCAAATGTCATCGTGCATGACATACGTAAAGTAAAAGTCAAGTAAGACCAGATGAATACAAATATTATTAATTTTATTTTGAACTAGCGGCCACCCGCGACTTCGTACGCGTGGACCTCGTTTTACTCCTTAGTTCGTAAAATCTTTTGTTTGATATCATGTTGATAGATGGCGTTTCACGGCTTCCCACGCATGAATATTTACGAACGTCAAAAACAGTAGTTTGTCCAGCGCTGTAGATTTTAACCAATGACGATAGATTGCGCTTTTTAGACACGTCTTATTTATTTATTGAAATTTATTTGTCACATATCATCATAAATTAAAGCCTATATGTTAATCTGGGTTATAAACAATAATACTGTAAAGTTTCAACAAAATCCGTTTAGTAGTTTTTGAGTGAAAGAGTAACAAACATCCAGACATCCAGACATATCAAAACTTTCGCATTTATAATATTATAGTTATAGTTATAATATTAGTAGGATAGGAAGTAGGATATACGTCGCCACTAATGACAATTTTTTTTCCCCAATTATCCTCAGTAGGGACATAGTCAGTGTCCACAACCGGGAATAGACGGACTGCGGATACTATGCGGTATCCACGAATTACCTCAGCCTGTGCCTCAGTGATATCATGCGTTGCGCTTTTTTGAACAGTAGGATGCTCCACGACTACACAGCACTGTGCCATACTCGAGCCCCATATAGGACCATATAACGCGCGACGCAAAAGTATAGTCAGCGACTCAGTGCAGCCGGGCCTCCGAGATTAGGCATCAACCGGCTTAGTGCGCCGGCGGTAGCCAAAAGCTTAGGGGTGAGACGATTCAAGTGGCCGTCAAATGACCACTGTCCAACTAACTACAATCCGAGGTACCTACCGCAAAGATTTTCCGACTGTAATATGTTGTGTATGTTCCCCCTACAACTAGGTGGGACCCTGCTGGCAGAGCATTCCTATTAACTATTCTGTAACCACCTATTTATGGCAAATAAATTATTAGTATTATTCCTCTTTATAATATTAGTAGGTATACATACATAACTTGCTGTTCCAAATTTTCGTCATTCGTTTTCGTTTCATCGCTAAAAATAACTTAATTTTATTTTTCATTACGTCTGAAATAGAATTTGTAGTAAAAATAGACTGTAATGAAAAATAACAATAAAATATTTTAATTACCACGTGATCGCAAAATCTACCACCAAGATTTTGCGGATACACTATAAAAGTCCAGCTACCTGTCAAAGATCAACGTACGCGTGACACATGTTAGCAGAGCACCGAGCGACGTGACCTCACTCTGGAACGCCTCGAGGCGGACTGAATTTGAACGATTAGTGCGCGGCGTTTTATAGTACTTTTCAAATACTCATAGAAAAAAAATTACAATGAATTATTTTAAATTTCAAAGTAAATATTTTAGATAAGATATTCTTCTATTATATTAAGCTATTTTTGTGTTGAATAAAGGAAGAATATTGGTAAAAAAATCACTTTGATTTTTGGGTATTTCACGTTCTTTTAATTTGTGATTTCTTATTGTAAAATGCTTAAATCTAAAAATTTTCTCAGATAACTATTTGCCCAAGGATCTATGCTATAGGATATAAATGTTTGTTAAATCGTTTTCACAGTATTTTTATACAAATTTCAGCTTGTAAACTGACGCTAAAGTGGAAATTTACAAAACCTGTGTGGACTTATCTTGATATAATTCTTAAATACTAAACTAATCGCAATGTTTTCTCAATTAACTATTTAGAAGACGAAATTGCCTAACTGTTTATGCCTATAACATATTTGTAATATTACTGGTTAATGATTGTAACGAGTTGAAAAAGTACTGTTTTTGCGCCAAACGGCGTAAACGCTCTTAATCTGGGTTACAAAAATTAAAACTGTAAAGTTTCAACAAAATCCGTTCTCAATTATGTACCTACTTCAAGTTCAAAAAATACATTTTAGGCGGTCTTATTGATAGGAACCAACGTCTTTGAAACAGGGTATTGTTGAGGTCAATGAAAGATCTTCAAAATGAATAATTTTATTTATATTACAACTATTCAGAATCCTCGTCTATGTCAGGGGGGTAGTATGGTCCTGGAGGCTCGTATGTGTCTTTCTCGTCCACTCGTGAGGGGTATGGGTGGTGGGGCATAGCTCCCATCCATTGTGGGTACCAGTACAAGCCCTAGGAAAAAAATTGAAGCATTATTACTAAAGCCTGGTCTGTGAGCACGTAGAATCCCGTTCAATGACCCCAAGCTGCCCAACCTTGTCGCTCGCACGTAATTATGTTGCTGTCGCGCTCGCACACTCACTGCGGGCGCGCGTCGCACAGTCGCGACAGCAATATAATTACGCGCGAGCGATAAGGATGGGTAGCTTGGGGTCATTGGACGGGATTCTACGTGCTCACGGACCAGGCTTTATAGCTTTAGTAGTGCTTAACCGAGTCAGTGCCTTAGGCATGCGAGCGGCACGGGAGGGTGTCTTTTTACGTCAAATGTCAGCGAATCTTCAGATTTGTATGCTCTGTCACGTAATATTATGTCAAAATCATCCTCGGGCACTGCCTTAATACGCTACAGCTATAAGATCCACGCCCTTATTCACAAACATTACTATGAGGTCTCACAGTGCGCGTGGACGCACAGGGTGACACACGAACCAATCACAGAGCTCTATTCAACGCTGTCCGTTCGATTTGCTGCTTCACTTAAGCAAGTATCGTTTGTGAATACAGGCTAACCTAGTGGCGTTAATTTTTTGGCTATATCTGTACCCTCGAAGTCTCACTCTCCCTATATCCCGTGGATGTCGTAAGCGACAAAGGGATAAATATCCGAATATCACGTCTTCTCCCCCAAACAGACCAGTGACGGACAAACTTGACCTTCACTGGTTGGGTTTTTATTGGCAGTCAAGCTGTAGATCCTGGCTACACAGGAGTTGCAGCGGTGGGAACGAGAGGTGGGAATAGTCCCATTCTCCCCAACCCGTCTGGCCAAATCCTCCATTTGCTTCTGGTAAATTAGAAAGGGTTAAGAGATATGTAGTTCAAATCCACTTAGATCACCTGGATTTAATCACCCAGGTGATCAAAGTGGAGTTCAGGCGACACTTTGGTGTTCTTTGATCACCTAGGTGATAAATCCTACAATCACCTTGTTTCCGCCCACGGCGTTGCACGTATACCGGTCGTCGTGTAGTTCAACAGTGTCTAGATAGCTCTTGCCGGCGATGGAACCGTAGTTCGGAGGGTACATGAATATACAGCCCTCCAGATTATCTGAAAATTCGTTACATGGTCAGTAAAAAAAAACATTGTAGCCATTTTAAGAACCGGGTTTGTGGACTTATGACTTGGGAGTAATCGCCCCGGGTGCCAAGCTAGGGTTTCTGATTTCTCGACCTATTTTTTTTCTCGAGTTTCGGGAATTCTCGAGGCCAAAGTCTCGAGTTTTCTCGGGTTTCGAGTCTTTTAAGTGAAATTGTTGAAATCGGTTGAAATTTGATAAAAACACAGGTTTTTTTAAATCTAGGTAATATACCTAAAAAAAAAACTAAAACCCAACTACGTAAAAATGAATTGAAAAGATAGGAACAAGACAAAGTGTTCAAAAATGCAGTCGGAGACATCAATGTCTATTTTTTTTTGTTGGTGATAAGCCGTGTGGTGACGACAGAATAAAATACATTAATTTGTCGCCAACCCCTACTCTTCCCGCGGAGGAGGCTCATAGTTCAGCAGTGGATTGTAAAGCTAAGCGTCCACTTGTCGGTATCGTACGCAACGGACGCATCGTACGAAACACATCGTATCGGATGTGCGATGCGTACGATGCGGACAGGTGGACGCACTTATATGAGTTTCCATATAAATAATACTACGATCCGTTGCGTGCGATGCGATACGTCCGATGCGTACGATACCGACATGTGGACGCTTAGCTCCATCTATAGTGCTTCAAAAACATGCATACATAGGCTGTTAGACACATTCCCACTCCTTTGCGTCACGCAGTCGGGTAAAAAAGGAAAGACTAGATTAGTCTAAAAGCAACGTTAACCTATTAAATAATTAAAAACTTACTTTTGTCTAAGAAAATAGGCTTTTAAGAATATTAAATCTTCAAATTCGAAACTCGAGAATTCTCGAGCTCCGGTAATTTTTTTCTCGTCTCGAATGAAGCCAAATTTCTCGAGTTTTCTCGAGTTCGAGAAAGCTCGAGCAGAAACCCTAGTGCCAACCCATGCTACGCCGCCACTGGCCGACTATACAGCAGTGTCTTTGGCATTTTAGAAAATCTTCAGGTACAGTCGCTAGCACATCAGACTACATTTTAAAATCAAAATCGCACTTATTACAACTACATGACGCCCATACCCCCAACGGTATGCTCATAAGTAGGTACAATAGAATCTCGATTATTATCCGGACTTCGATTATCCGGAGTAATCCGGACATCCGATTACCGGACTCAATCTTATAATCGGAATTCTACTATATACATTGACTTCAGCAGTTCAATAAATTCGAAGCCACGGTAGCCGAACGGTGAAAGGGGCCGGATTGGCCCACTCGTGATCCGGGGAACGCGGGTTCGACTATTGTGATGAGCTCACTCGTGATACAAGCATATTAATTTATCTTAGTACGAGGGTCTAAAAAAAACTCAATCTTACAAGGTACGGTGATGTTGTCTTCTTCCTCCGGCTCCTCTGGTTTCGGCGTGGGTTCGATGTAAGGCGGCACGGGGTCAATACCGCTGCCCGGGTCTCCGGGAATCAAGAATGGGCCTGGAATTACATAAATACTAGTTAAACTTGGGGAAAAACTCTGAAAAAATCATCACCGTATTTGCCATTTAGTGTGAAGAGAAGTGATTTCCATTTCGCGTGGTTGTGCCTTCCTGCTACAGTCAGGTCGTCGTCCACCTTGTAGGTGGACGACCCACGCTGCGTTTTCCGATACGTGACCTCCACTCCAGAACCTTGCTGCCCCATCGGCCGTCAGTTCTGCGTGCTATGTGCCCTGCCCATTGCCACTTCAGCTTGCTAATCCGTCGGGATATGTCGGCGACTTTAGGCATAGTCACTGGGGGAGGCCTATGTTCAGCAGTGGACGTCCTGTGGCTGATGAGAATGATGATGGAGTAGTGTATTTTACCTACCGCCATAATGGTTGGTGAAATTCCACTCGCAAACGTGGTGGTCACACACTAATGGCGTACGTGGTTCTTTGGTGTAATACGTGTGCCCGTTAGGTGATGTCTGAAATAAAAATTGTATTACGGCATACGGTTTCATTGTCGCAGCACAAAGACGTTCACCATCATCATCTTAATGGCTCGATATACGTCCCACTGTACAAATCGTTTGGACAATGATTTGCTATTATCGTTTTTCTACCGAAAACAATGATCCCATTTTAAAGAAAAAGGCATACGATTATTGAAGACTGCAAGCCAAACATTGGGGATTCTTCTGGTCATCATGTGACCCAAAAATCAGTTTGTTCCCTTTTATGTAAAAGGCATAACCTTTTCAACGCCAATGACGGTTACATGCCATCAGGTTGACCGCCAACAACGGATTAATCCGCCTTAAAAATGATGTCAGTAATAGGCTAATTCAATATCAAGCGTGGCGTCAGAGTGATGGCTTTTTGTATTTGACGTGGCGCTGAAAAGGTTAAAAAAGATAAAGCCTAACTAAAGCTTAGAACTAAAGGCTTTATGGCATGAATGAACAGACATCTTCTGGGAAAGCTCGTTCCACCAAAGGTCAAGGTTTTCAAGAGCAAGCCTATTAAAAAAATAAATCTGACACCGTGATTTGCTTAAGGCATTCTCACCAACAAATAATCGTGGTGCCGGTACCGCAACCCCTGGATATTGAAGTCCAGGATGAAGGATCCTGAAGCGATGATGCACGAAGCAGCCGTCAGTGGCGGCAGTTTGTACATCACCAGCCCGCACTTGACTATGGCTTTGGGCAGAATTACCACGTCTCGTTCACGTTGCAGAACTTTCTTGAAGGGAAACCTTTGGATTTAGAAGTATTCAGGTGTTATGAGTGATTAAATACAGGGTGGAATTTTGTAATGCCACCTGGAGGGAAAGTACTCTTAATACTGTAGATAGAGAATTTTACTCAAAGAAAACATTCCTTTATTTTTGAAAAGCAATAGAACTGCACTCAAATATTTTCAAAAATTTGCTTGCCATACCCAGGAATCGAGCCAACTAACATCTGTTAAAAATTACAGCCTGTATTTTTATTGCATCGATCGTTAGGGTTAAGTATAAGGATGAAATCTCTAACAAACTTGATAAATCAAATAAAAGGAAAGCCATAAAATCTTACATTATTTTAATTATTTACAGAAAATTTTATGGTATCATGGTAGTGAATTTTCGAAAAAAAGTCAGAAATCTTTGAATGCAGTTCTATTTCTTTTAAAAAATAAAGGAATGTTTTCTTTGAGTAAATTATTCAATCTACAGTGTTAAGAGTACCTACTTTCCCTCCAGGTGGCATTACAAAATTCCACCTTGTATATTCCTGTAGCGAAATGTAGTCCAAAACTAAGCATACTGAGACCAGATGATAAAAACGTAGGTAGGTATGTTATTATTAATAGAGACAGTGATTGATTGAAAGGTGGTTAGAGCTTTGATTAAACAATTAAATATTTATTTATTGTAGACGTATGTAAGCCTTGTTTGTAACTTATGTAAGTATATTGAATTAGGCCTACTGGTAGGACTTGAAAATGGTATTTATTAATGAAACCTACTATACGTGGTTTCAAGTTTTTCTGCCTAGGCACTGCGTAGATATAAAACTATAGCTCATCGAAATCATCAACTTACCTAAATATACACAGACCGACATGGCATTCCAAGCCATGCAAGAAGTTGTCAGTGGGAAAAGAAATACTAGGATCGTCGATCAAGTAGTACTTCTGTTCATCATGGTAGTGCAGGAAGCCAAGGAACACAAACGATCTATCCTTGCAGTAGGGGGCAGTGCCCTTGCCCATATTATATATGTCGCTGTATAGCTCTGAGACGAATATGTAAACGTTTTTTCCGCAGTAGTACTCTGAAAATGAGACGTATTATGTAGTGTAGCCCTTTCGGACCGCTCCAATACAATTGTGCGGGTTACAAAATCGAGATTATCTCATTAGTTTTACATCGGAAGTGGATGGGCTGAGTATCGTACGATTGTGCGGGATGCGTTCTTTCACCTCCCGTGCAAATTTTGTCCGAAGCGCAGTTGGTGAGCAGGTTACAACCTGTACAGTTCATGACTGATTGCGCTCCCCGACTTTGCGAAAGAAAGTACCTACTATGGTTTTATTTTGTAATTGTAGTAATATACAAGTTATTGATTAGACAAATAGATAAAAATGGCATCTTTTTGTGATAACAGTGACTACTTGTACGCAAAGACTTTGGCGTAACGGCTTAACGAACTTTACTGACACAATTGTATCGATGTGGGCCCTACAATACCTTATGCGTATTTTAAGTTTCTCATAATTATTAATTTTTCATGGTTTCCGCACCATGTTTCCGATTTTAAACGACGCTACTATTGAAGGGATGCTCAATGCATCTGGGGAAGAGAGCGATGACAACGACAAAAGCTAGTTTCGGCTACTTCAGATGATCTACTCCTCTTCTTCGGATAAAGGCTCAGACATTCATGACGATACATACATCTGAGTATGCAAGCGGCATAGCAGACGAAGCCCTTCAATCGTCAACATCTTCCAGGAGATGCTGTTCATGATCCAGGAGATATTAAAACTCTATAGGAATATTTCGAGCGCTATATTTACTGTTGAGCTCATGAAACAGATGGTTTTACCCACAAATCAATATTAAATGGCAAATACTGGTATAAAATTGAAACCTCTTTATTCCTTACGGGTTATAAATACGTTTTTCGGAATACATGCCATTTCTAAAATTTCCAAAACCCTTACAATTTTGACCCTCACAATTGTACGTAGGAAGTAAAGGGCCCAGTTTGATACAATTGTTGGTATATGAATTTTCCAAGATGGCGGCGGAAAATCTGAAAAATTATAGCAGATTCGTAATCTGCGGCCCCAAATTACCTAAAATTCATTTTCAAAATTACAAATTTCTTTCTAGTTTAAGCGCGGGTCCGAAAGGGGTAGAGGAATTTTTCCGTGTCGTTTTTTCCATTGATAGCAGCAGTCCAGTCGCTTAGAGAATTGACTATTAACCCTTTTTTCCATCAAATGTTCCGTACGAATGGCCGATGGGGACGACGAGTGGGACTCCTCGCTAGAAGGGTGGGGCCTACCTACTAAAACCCGACTGTGACCCGACGTTGTCCTCCGGGGCCATAAGAGCCAGAGTTATTGTCCTAATTCGAATATTTGTCCACGGCTCCGCGGTCACGGATCGTTCGCGAACGGCCCACCCATTGGACACTGGCGAATTAAAATGACCCTGATCTACCCTGGTCATTACGTTATCCTGGTCTAATTGAACGATCTGTATCTTACCCTGGCTTAAATAAAATTCCATAGGGACGGGGCCTCCAGTGTACGTCGCCTTTCGCTCTGCAGCCACAGAGTTGTGGTTCTCGTACATTGTCAGCATGTTGTCGATGACGTCATCCAGAGTAATTAAAAGCACCTTTAATTCTTGGATGTGCAGTTTGATGAAACGTCCCAAATGGTCAGTGGCTATGTGGACTCGCTCGTTGATCAGATACTGAAAAAGAAATCATAAAAAATTAAGATCTTTTATTTCCTATTAGTTAGGTACCTACCTACTTCCTGTATAAAGAATATCAGTGGAATAACGAACCTCCTCCTCTTTGAAGTCGGTTAAAAAGCTGTTCACATCCACAGCTAGACGTAGAGACGCTAGCTCTCCCAAGGAGCGCTAATCAGAATTTTCTCCCGCTTTTTCTTCAAGCAACTCCACAACTATCTTCTTCCTTACCTGATTGGTCGACAGTCTTAATCTATGGTCTTGATTCCCATCATCTCGTTCTGGTATATAGCCACAGGTTGTTGAACTTGTCAGTAGAGTCGTTTAAACTAGGGTGCCTCAAAAATACTTAGAGCGCTTTCACATTAGGGCGTTAGAAGCGCGACAGTAGCGTTTTTATAATGTCACATAGTATGAATTATCGGCAGCGCGTCTGTCGCGCGTTTGTCGCGCTGCTAAAGTCGCCTAAATGTGAAAGCGCTCTTAGGTTGAATGAAACGCAAGTGAAACCTGATCCTCGGCAGTCTTGATCCGCATCATCTCGTTCTGGTACAGCCACAGGTTATCCAGCTTGTCTGTGGGGTCGTGACCATAAATCTCGAACGCGTCGATGATCATCGCCAGGGTTAAATTCTCGTTGGGGTCCAAGCAACATGGGTGGTTCCGTATGTTGTACGGAGCCTGGTGTTGAAATTTTATTATTAATGAATCCAATGCTAATAACAATCAGTGCAGTAACTAGCTTTTTACACGTCCACTATTACTTATACAGGGTGTGGCGTAAATAGTAGTCCAAAGCAAAAGGGTCGATACACAGTGCACTGAGGTACCACATACCAGTATTACAAAAATTATGTCAAGAATATTCAAAAAAATATTAATTTTTTTTACACCATAAGCATGTAAAGTCAAACGATTTGCTAGAAGTAAGTATTGAATTTCATAACAATTTTTTTTTATTAAAATTCAGTTTATTGCTTGCTCGATTTTCTCACAAACATTTGCCTCGAGCAAGATTTAAACCCGGCATCCGAAACTAACTTCTAGTCTGGTACAGTCAGCATCAAATAGTTCGTGACATCCAAAGTAGCCAATTTCACAAGATGTCTTTGTTGCAATTGGAATAATGTACCTAGTCTTATCAACTTTTTGGCTAATTTAGGTGTCACGAATTATTTGACGCTGGCTGTACGAAAACCACCGATTTAGGCGCAAAAATAATGTAGTTAAAAACCGTTTATCGTAGTTTCAGGGTATCAGGTAGGTACTCGTATAATATTTGAAAACGACATACCGTAATTTGAACCCAGTTGAGACATAATGCGAGCAACGCGCATGCGCGAATACCGACGTCCATTTTGACGACATGGCGCCCGCCGTTACTCGCTGTTCAAGAGTTTTGAAGCCAATTATTTTAATTGCTATGAATTCAACCTTGTTAATTTTTAACGATGCATAAATAAATGAAAAGTGAAAAAAGTTTGAACAAAAAAAATTGTGGTCTCTTTTGTGATATTTATCAGACCCTCATTATAGAAATATTTAATTGGAAAGACAAAATAATAAAGTAGGTAATTTATAAAAGATAAATTTCTCAAACAAAAAACTCGAAAATTACTTTATTTGTAACTACTCTTTGGTTCAAGTAGGTACTGTATAAAAACTCATTTTTTAAACAAATAAAACAACTGAATCGAATAACATTTTATATTATTTAAAATACACACCTAGAATTGTTCATTTCATCACAATACATGTATTTTATTATATTTATACAACATTATTGCACTTGGATACATTTCTAAATAGTTTTTGAATGTAAGCTATTTATTGTCACTCAACAAAAAGTACGTTTACCTATTTTTATTGATAAGCACATCATTAATTTATTACATTTTATCAAAAGTTCACCCGAGATTTTGGAAGTCCGATTTCTAGTATGAATCAGACAGATATACAACGCATTGCAACCCAGGACTTATTAAATAGTCCCGGTAGGTACTAATATTAAATCTGTATAGTTTTCCTCAACACTTTTTATACGATTTTATTATTTAAGAATCTTTTTGTTTTAGTTATACATGCAGATACGACCCATTATTTTGTATATTGTTGTATTTTTCCTGTATTGTTAAAATATAACTTTTTTACTTAACTTTTTCTGACGAGTTTGTTACAATAGCTTGTATATCAGTCGACTGTCACACTTGATTTTATTATTCATTAATACACAATCTCAACTGACACATTATTATTATTTCCTAATCTAAGTAACGTGTATAATTAATAGTAATCTACAATATGTATAATATATAATCAACAACAATAAATATCGTTACTTTGAAAACTGGAAGACTTAGTTACTTACGTAGTCAATAATCATGAACATTATAATTACCTGTGTACAGTCAGATACAGCAATGTATAATATGTATATTGCGACACAGATATTTTTGACAATTCCTTATTAATCGTGTAAAAAGTATGAGTTTATGCCCTATTCGTTAGTTAGGGCTTAATCAGTTTTACTAATACATTTTTGTGTTTGACTGTACTTTAAGGTATGATAAATATAATTCAAACTTAGTGTTTGTTTGATATTTTTATGTATGATATTTGCTTTTCTAATGCTTTTAATCAATGACAATATTCTTTCATGATATTTGAATTTATTATGAATCACACAGATATTGCATTATCTACATAGAATTTTATATTAGCATTTGAAACATTTATACTATAGTAGAATTATTATCTGTGTTTATTGTTTCATTTTGAATTAAGACAAATAAAAAATTGTATAAGTACAATGATTTGACATAATTATTTTAAAAATGTAAAGAAACATCTCAAAATTTGAGGTCACTCACAAAACTTAACAATTATGTAGCATCATTTTATGCAATTAATATAAAATATTTTATAAAACTGAGTATTTTTGTATAATTTATGGTTAAAAAAATACGGTAAACGGTAACTACCTACAAGGTCTGGTAGATAAATAATGTAGAAATGCTAAACTATGCGAGATTCATCACTCTTAATAACTACATACAATAAACGACTATGATATAATATAAATATACATAAATATAATTACGCGCAGTTTATATTTTTACTAGCAAATTGAATTTCTTTACAACATATTCACTTTTTATTGGAAGACTTCGTTGTTATAGTATACATTATTATAAACATAAATATATTTTTGTAAGACATTGGATTATTTGCATAATTGCTTTTCATTGTAAAATGAGAGCTAACTTACAATCTATATACATAATGTATAATTTATAAAACTATATTGTAATGGAAGACTTTAATAATTTGTCTGTATACGAATTTGTTAAAGTAAAGCAATATTTTCTTTAAATACAATATGTATATGCGTCAAACAGTTTAATTGAGTTATTTACGTGCATACAACAATTCAAGCTGCGTATTATTGCGACCAAACATTTTACGAAGTATGCGTATATCTAAAAATAGATCAACAATTATCTAAGTCTACTTTGAAATTTAGAACGGCAGACCTATCTTGAAGGCCTTCACAAGGGCAGACCCCGAGTCGTACATACCGATGATGCCAAAGAGAACACCTAGACCAATGATGAAATAGTCATAAGCAATAGTAGTGCTCTCCAACTGATTGCCTTTAAGCTTAAGGTGGAAATAAGCAGGCCAGATGAAACTCAACATAGTGCCAGTAAAGCTTCCAATGAAGCCCATCAGTATAGCGAAATGGGGAATGAAAATTGCCATGAGCACGGAAAACATAATCACCCCTAACCGCCAAGCGAGCCCCCACACCTTCAATTCTCCATCCAGGGCGTATATTACTGGAAATATTGTCTTCGGCTTGCCTCTGAAAAGAGCACGCTCTAACAAGTCACACGCAGCGTAATAAGGCAAAGGATAACTTAGGACTGCTTTTATCACGAGGAAGAAGTTAACAAGTCCCTTAAATCCAGCTGATCTTAGATTGTTAGTTATCACCTGCTGAGTATCGTTTTGGAATGTTAGGAAGCAAAGATAGCCGAAAATTGATTTGAAAGCGGCAGCCGCAATGTGGGACCAGTTCAACATCCATTCGAAACGAGAACGATCCTCCATATTCCCTTCTAAAGTTGGCAGGAAGATTTGCGATGTGTAAGAGAAGACAATAACGCCTAAACTTATGGGGAAGTTCTCGAAATCTAAGCTCCACTTGACTTTAGACCAGCCCCAGTCACCGATGTAGAGAATGCAGTAGCCAAGAACAATGGCATTGATGATCAAATGGCTCATGGTGCACCAGAAAGACAACATGCTGACAGATTTCAGGGACTTCAAGAATGCTAATGGAAGTAGGAATATGCCTGTGAGCATCATCCAGGATCGAGTATCAATAGATCCATCAGGGAAGGTGCCGATCATGAGATCTCCGCATACCACGACATATAGGATGCAAGTCATAAGAAGTTCAATAATTTGAGCAATATTAACAATTCGCGCTCCATATTTCCTACCGAAGCATTCTTTAGCGATACTGACATACGAGTCTCGTACTCTTACGCGTTGTCCTGTGACAGGGTCGTCTTCGTAGAGGCATTCCACTAGGATTTTTCCAGTGTAGCAGCAGATGTGGGCAATACCGATCATAGCGGCGATAGCCCAGTAGCCTCCTTGGAGCACGGCGAATGGTAGGGACACTACGAACATTCCCTGGAAAAATACATTTACTAAGCATCGTCCCTTAAACAAAATTAAGCTGTAGGATAATTTGGAAGATGGCATCCGTTATAAACTTACTTGAATGGCATTTGTGACGTTCCAAGCGGCTTGAAACTCGTTGATTTTAGCGCCAGGCTTGCCGCCCTCTTCGAAGCCGCCTTCTTCTGATGAAGCATAGAAGTCCACACTCTGCATACTTTGAGTTCTGAAAAGGTTATGTAATGGAAATTATAGTTGAATAAAGATTGTCTATTATCAATGTTGATATTTAACAAGATGGTCCCTACTATTACACCTCTGACAATACAGTTAAAAGTTTAGTGAATTATTAATTTATTATTCGGCATGTGACGATGCACAGCATCTGGTGAGATATGCGTCTACTTCCGGTGTAGTTTTTTTTTACCATTTTATACCTTAAATGACGTCATTTCCGCAATTATTTAATAGGGATTGATTTGACTTACTTCCGTTTGCCGCCATTTTAGTCACCTGGGGGCGAGCTTGCTCGGAGTTCGTCATAGCGTCTTTAACTTCCAAACTAGCCACATCGTAAGCAGAAACTCTGCTCAGATTTTTACTGAAATAATTTATTTCTCAACGTTCTTATACTAAGTTTAAAATTAAAAAGTGCAATTGACCGCGCGTGTATGACCGCGAACGACATGTACGTGATGGTGGTTGGCGCCAAAGGGGACGAGTGTCTTCCGGACGACGAGCAGGTGGACCCAGAGCGTCGGATACCGGAGAAACTCGGACCCCGGCGAGATTCAAAACGGATGAAACGAGGTACGTGGGATTCTGATAGCTTTAACACTCTTTTCGATCAAATGAGCATTCTCGCGAATCTCTATATTGTATAAATAGATTAGATTGAATAACGTACCCACAACCATCTTATACAATTTTAACGGCGGCCCCGTCAGCCCCAATCGCAAACATTACCAATCAAAATACGTTGTTAGCATCACCACAATCGAACGATAACTCTTTCTGGTACGAGTTTCTTAATAAATACCCATTTAAAGATGCTGTGCATCGTCTCTGCTCAATAATACAAGTTTTATTGTTTTGTAAAACTTGTACTATTAATATATTCCAAAATATAATTTCAAATTTAAATTGTTACACACATAGTTTGTTACACACAACTGTTAGAAATGACGTAGGTATTTGTAACTGTTATTAGTTTCTAGAATAGATGTTTTATACCTATGGAATGGAAAATAGATTTTACCTTGGCGCTCCATCTTGCTGCGGATAGGTGTTCTGGTAGCTGGTGAAGGAGTCTTCGGCTTGTAGCTCCCCACTCAGGAAGGGATTGGTGGGGTTCGTGGATTGATACGTCGGGGAGGTCGTCTCGTTCATGGTGGACAACTCGCAGCTCTCCCCCATGTTGTCTAAAATTTGCAATCAATCAGAAAATTGTCGATAAGACTTCACGTAAAAGTATCCATGTAACATCCAAAAAATTTATGCATAATGTTATTGGAAATCTGCACAATTCAGTTATTATACAAATAGGTAATATTATATTAGTTTATTGTTACGTTTTTACGACATAGAAACCATTTTCATTGGATCACCTCACTTTACTTTCGTATAGTAAACGTTAAAATCGCCTAAAGGGACTGTACGTACCACTAACTCTTGTGTAGTTAGGAATTACAACATGGCCACGAATAAAACCTCCAGTAAAGATTAAGTTAGTCCCGGACTCCTGGGGAAATTTTTGACTGTTGTTGGACCACGTACGAAGTTACATTACTTACTAAAATATAATTACTAGATAATTGTAAAAACTTACCCAAATTGGCAAATCTGACGTTCTGTGGAGGGCGAGGCGAAGGTCCTGCTCCTGACTTATCAGGAATCTGCTGCCGCACCGTTTGCATGGCCACATCCAAGGCATTCTTCAGGGGTGGTAACTTGAATCGACCCAGATTTATCATTTTGATTTTTTTTTATTTCAAAAAATATTTTCAATTTTTCTGTGTTACAATTTTTTGTAACAGTACAAGAGTGTCACACTTGCGCAACAATTAATAATTACGAATAAATATTTTTTATTATATCATGTAAAATTGACGTTAACGGGAAGACATCGATTTTTAGTAACACTATATTTTTTTATTAAATCTAACACTTAACTTTTCTAATTACAATTAGTTTGGAAGACTTCTTTACACTACACTATGTTAAGAGATTACATTATTGTGTTAATGTGCCATTGGGTTGGAGCAGCCATTTCTTGGATTTTACCCATCTCGAACCCCAGGGAGGTTTTTCACTTTTCCGTCACACTATTTTAAGGTTTTTATTTTGTTTTTCAGGTTTAGAATATGTAATTTTGGATTTTACACATTTTAAATGTGATTTTCTTTTGTGTGATGGCTGCTCGGCACAGTTTTCCGTGTGGTGGGAAGGGGTGGGGGGTAAGACGCGGCGCGTTGCGCGGTAGTTCGATCAATATGGTGCGATCGGCGAACGCATTACGTCAGCAGATAGAGTCTGGTCGCTGTCAATTCTGCCAGATGCTATCTAATTGTAGGCGACTCGTAACTTTGATGGCGATTGGGACGCGATGTAAAGAGATGGAGATGGGCATTTGCTTTTAGATTACGCGAGTCTTCTCACCTTGCGTCTTTACTTTATTAGGTTACATTAATTGTTACCGTTGATGTCGAGAAAGGGAAATGTTTTATAACATCACACAGTCACATACTTACCTACTGAGGAGTTTTTGTGTATGTTCAAAAAATATAGTATTTAGTTAATCAATAAATAAAGTGGGGAGGCATTTTTTATTCAGGAACATTATTTTTTATATCCTTAGAAAAAATTGCAAACCAGTGAAATTAAAATAAATTGTACCTACCACATATTTTAAGATTTTTCATTAAAAAATAAACGCATTCTTGGACGTTTTTTGCTTACATATTTTAAATAATAACAAACTTACAATTAGGTAGTTCAAATTTGTATAATTTTAATAATTTTTGTTCTCGTATTTATTGGTAAATAGTTTTAATATTACAAAAAAGCTTATCTACTTAACAAGTAAATACCTACAAGTTGTTATTTTTTATAGTTTTAGAAAAGAAACAGTTTTTATGACCATTTGCACTAATTGGTAGAGTAAGGTCGTTACAGTCAAACGCTGATGGTTATGGCGCCTTACTGTGTTTTAAGTTTTGTATTACTATCATATTTTTTTACTGTGACTGTAAGTATTTAATATTGCTATCGTTCTAGAGATAATGATAGTGTATTATTTTTATGTCTAGGTAGTATCGAATTTGACTGCCCATTTTCACCATCAATCCCTAATTTTTAAGTGACCCCTATGGTAACACTTAATAGGCATTTTGTTTACTTAAGGGTCACATAAAAATTAGGGATTGATGGTGGGCATAAGTCTATCACTCTATGTAATGTGTACCTTCCCCGTTGTAGATAAAAAAAACCTATAGTTGAAAGATTTATTTAATTGTTTCACGTAAACGTCAATTTAGAATGCGATTCCTCCAAAATTTTACAGCGTTCCTGTATGTTCCTGGTACAGTCAGCATCAAATTAATAGTCACCCAAAGTAGCCAATTAGTTCGCAACACGTTTTTGTTACAATTGGAATAAGGTTGTGTTGTCAACTTAAAATTCATGTTATGTGTTATAAGGGTCACATACAAAATTAAGGATTGATGGTGAAAACGGGCATTAGACATGCAATATTTGCAAAAGTTGACTTCCGCAAGCTGTTTACCACTGTGTAAATAGCTGTGGCAAGACAACTTCTGCAAGTTTTACATAGTGGTGACAGCTTGCAGAAGTCAACATCTGCAAGATTCACATAGTGGTGACAGTTTGCGGAAATAAACTTCTGCATAATTACACAGTGGTGACAGCTTGCGAAAGTCAACTTCTGCAAGTTTTATTGCTAGTCTAAAACTCGCTTAGACTAGTTGCCCGCGGTTTCACCCGCGTGAAATTTAGTTTGTCACAGATCGTCATAAATTATAGCCTATAAGTTATTCTGGGTTATAAACAATAATACTGTAAAGTTTCATCAAAATCCGCTCAGTAGTTTTTGCGTGAAAGAGTAACAAACATCCAGACATCCAAACTTCCGCATTTATAATATTAGTAGGATTAGTAGGATGATGAAGGAGAGATTTACAGTTAATAAATAAAGAATTTACAAACAAGATTCCAATTTTATCTGTTGTTTAGAAAGCATACAACATCCGTAATCACCCATGTTGCCAAGAGCCAAGCGAGAACCTCACCTTGGCGATGGTAATAGACGCGTACGAGATTTATGGCCACGACCCCACAGACAAACTTGACCACTTGGCCCACTACCAGCTTGAAATGATGAAGGTGAAACGTGCGGAAGACCAGGTGAGAGACCTTATGTCTTTAACGTTAAGGCTAAAGTTTGTTTGGCAGATAAAACCCAATGGTTAATTCTTTGGAGAAGACAGGAGGTCAAAACGTGAGTTTCTAAATTAATACAAATAAATTAGGATTAAGTCGAACGATCCCAATTGACAATTTTTAACTTTGATGTAGGTAAATTCTACTAATAAATAAGTAGGTATATTCTGCGTTAAATATTTCGTGACCCTAATTTTAATAAGGATGTGTTGTTAACTTTTTTGGCCACTTTGGGTGTTACGAACTATTTGATGCTGACTGTACTTGAGAAACATTGTAATGTATTGTTTCTGTTTCAGTACATAATAAATGAACACGTGCATATTGCCACGGACCACCTTGGGAGGTTTGTCCACATGCATATTAAGGAACTGAAAGTAAGTAAAAGCAAAATACAGAGCCCCGATTACGGTAACTTTTAACGTCTACAATCCAGACACGCTTCATCGACGCTGCGATACGATTGGTCGAAACAGCTGACGTACGCTGTTGAACGACCAATCGTATCGCAGAATCGAGAAGCGTGTCTGGATTGTAAACGTTAAAAGTTACCGTAATCGGGGCTCAGGTTGTCCCAAAAAGTAGTGTCAAACCGAAGCCCAGAGGTAGAGCATCACTAGGGCTATCCAAATCACCCCCATGGATGTTCCGCGATTTTTGATAGTATCGTATATTTATTAAAGTCCGATTTTTAATTCGACGGAATTCTGACAGCTGTCATTTTTTGACAATTCAGATGTAATAAGCCTTTTTTGCTTTGAATTATTAATAAATAATATGAAATGAAATTTCATCAAGTACAACTTACAAGAATGAACTATTGTTTGTTTTGTGAATTCAATGTACACTAATTATTATGTACATTTTAGAGATTAAATAGAAAAAAACGTGTTTTTAACACAGTAAAACAACATATTATCATAAACGAAAATATGTATTGATCATCAATCATCATTATCGTTATCATAATCAACTTGGATTATAAAATTGGCATCTTGTTAAATTGGTTATTTTATGAAGCTAAGATTTTATTAACAAAAGGATTATCATAAAAAAGGTTTGTAACCCATGGATTATTGGCCAGGGAGTCCAGTAATAGAAAAATAATTTCCCATAATTTTTTGTAACTTCAAAAATATGATAATAAAAATTCAAATAACCATTTTGAAATGATCAGTACATTTTTAAGCCTTAGTTTTTTAAGTGAAACCTTAAATTCAAGAAAGGATTATTTTTTAATTTGTGAAAATGCTCTCCATTCATAATGGGAATGTTTCAATGTTGACAACACTTCTGAAATGTCAAAATTCCGTCGAATTAAAAATCAGAGTATAGATGAATACTAGGCCTATCTGATTCAGAAGTATTTACATACATAACACGAATGTAAACCAAAAAAGTTAAAAATTCTCTAGGTTGTAAAAAAAACCTAACTCGAAAGCTATCAAGTCGCGGTGATTCCGGTAGCCGTAGTGATGCTTTACCTCTGGGCTTCGGCTTGACACTACTTTTTGGGACAGCCTGTATAATAGTACCTAAGTATCCATGCAATATGGCGATTGCGATCCCACGCACGCCGAACCTTTAAAGTGCGACCAAACCAATGCGATCACACGTGATCAGCCGGTGTGCAGCGATGGCGACCAGACTTAAATGCATTGGTCGAACTTTAACTGCGCACCTCGCTGGAATGCGACTCTCCCTACCACTTACCTGCAAACCCCCGTTCGCCTCGTCCGTGCCAGCAGAGCAGGGATGTTATGGAATATCCTTCCGTAACCGTAACCGAAACTATTGAATATCCGAAATAAAAAAATATCCGTAACCGTAACCGCTTCAAAAGTTTCGGATAGTTTCGGATAAAGGCAGAGTCTAAATCTTAATATTTTTTAAATATTTGATTTTGTTACTTGTCTGGCATTCCCTGGCACCATACAATATCCTCGCCTGTTTTACCTTTATCATAGGAATAGTGTCGTCGTCATAGTACCTACATATTGCTAGTTATTTGAATTTTACCTTTTTAAAATTCTAATATTCGTAGTTAAATAAAATTATAAGAAACTTTCGGATAATCCGAAACCGTAACCGAAACCGGTATAATATTATTCTAATACCCGTAACCGTATCCATAACCGAAACTTCATAATTATCCTTAACATCCCTGTACCAGAGCGTCGATGTAACAGACATTACGGCTGCTATAGTCTGGTCTGCGAGCACGTAGAATTTTGTCCAAAAGTTTGCACAGTCGCGACAGCAATATAATTACGCGCGAGCGATAAGGATGGGTAGCTTAGGGTTATTGGACAAAATTCTACGTGCTCGCAGACCGGGCTTTAGGTGCGCAGTTAAGTCGACCGGGTTGTATATAATTTTTTGTTGCAAAATCGGACTTATGTATAACAACATAATGCCATAATTTTAAACCTTGATTCTACTATCGTAGGTGCTTCTAATTGCTCTGGATGATGCCATAGACAACATGCTGACTATGTACGACAACCATAACGCCATTAAGACTGAAAGGGTTGCCACTTACAACTCGGCCGCGGGCGGCGCGGTGCCAGCCGAGTTCTATTTGAGTCAAGGTATGATATACAGGGTGGGCCAAAAAATTTTGCAAAAAGAAAATATTTATTTTTTGAAAACGGATCGAAGTAGGATTGCTTGGGTGATAGGAAACTGTGCATAATTTAATTAATTTTTAGTCAGAAATGTAAAAAGACAGACGCAGACAGACATTCGCGGAATTCCAAATTAATTTAGTGTATTACTTTAAGAATGTTAATATTGTTTTTAAATCTATTGACACTCCTTTCTTATAACTTTCAAGCGCTAAACTAGGCTACTACTAAACTACACTACTCCCCTATTCACCTGTATATTAAAGTCGTGTGACTATTACAGAATTCTACTGCGGAAGAAACGTATACTTATTTATATCGGAGATATACAGCGATATATACAACATGGGGAGGGGCCCAGCACCCTACTGCAAGGGCAGAGCGTTCCATTTTCTCGGCTTCGTACATATGATGGACGACACAAAATACTACCTTGAGGAAGACCCCAATGTCGTGTTCCAAACTGACAATTACATTCACGGGCTGGAGTGCCACTTAAGGGTTTGCATTTTTAGGTAAGTAAAGCTTTATTAAGACAAGGGCATTCGACTGGATACTTAAGAATTGAACGCAGTCAAATTTGCACGCCGAAGTTGGGCGTTGGCCTCTGATATGCCATGTCACGCGGGAGGTAAGGGGGTTCGATTAGTAGTATAGCTCATGAGTTTTAGTACTATCAACGGGAAGGGGGCACTAGACCATTCTGGGTCGCATGATAGTGGGTGCCATATCTGTTGGAGATCCGACGAGAAACGGTTTCTTCGCAAAATTAGAGTAGAATGGTAGACAGGCGCAATTGCTCGATGGACCGATGACCTAAATAACATAGCTGGCACCGGCTGGATGATACATACTGATATGATGATGATCTGGGGTGAAGTTGTGTTCATGCCAACAAACTTTGAATAACAAACCAAGATTCACACTTTATTGTAGGTACACCACACAAAACAAGAAAATAACATTATACAAAAAGAGGAGGCACAATTTAGGCGGTCTTATCACTTCACATTTTTAACATACCTATTTATTTGAAAACTAAACCTTTTTATTTGATTCAAATATTGAACGTGTTATGCGTATGAAAACAATTGATAAAAAGGCTTTATGCGTTTGTGGTGACTGTAATAAAAGAAGTCGTCTCTATCGTAAGCCTGTGTGCGTTTGATATTAGTAGCTTCAAACTCATGGCATGCAGTCCCAAGCATTCTGTAGTACTTGCGCACATCTGTAAATACAAGGATACTGTAGTTCCCTTTCGTCAGCATGAAGCTTCCAATCCCATACAATGTATTTTGGTGGACCAAAAACGCCCCGGAACCAACTCCCTTGAGATTATCCAAATTGTTGAGGCATATGTAGTGCCCCCACCAGCGTGGTAGCCATTCGTCGCAGTCCGTCACCGCGTACTCGGCAAAATACGAACGGGATAGCAGCGTATCACTGTCCCTCATAAGGTCGTAGCTAGTAAATCCTAACGACGCAATTGTCAAATAATTATCCTTCAACATGTAATGCTGCTTCGCAACATGAACTGGACTCGGAAATTTGAATCCTATGTAATCCCAATAAATCCAGCTAAACCCACTTCTAATGGCATACTCTCTTGGATTCGTCCTTACTATCATGAGGTCATGCCGCGGACGAATGGACATATTGTGACCGTGAGAATGCTTCCACTTCAATAGCTCTTCTTCCGGGTAAGGTATAATTTGCCTTGCACAAATCATTCTGTGTGTACTCGCATAGAAATAACCGTAGCCGTCTCTTCCCTTGAATATGCAAACTTTGAAACTGTTCAAAGGGGTATTGGCAAGTCTGAGCTCTCTAAATGGTATGTAGGACGTCAGAATCAAGTGGAAATCGATAAATATGCCGGGGGTTCGGAAGCGGCCTTTGGGATCGACGATCATCGCAATTCTGTCGTTGAAAAATGAGTCCAAACTGTCGTAGCCGTCAGTATATTTGACCTCTTCACATTTCGGCTTTGTGGCGTTTACTTTTTTCGTTTCTGTTTTTTTTGGTGTGTTATAAGTGACGACGAGCGCAGGCAAAAGCAAGAAAACTAATAGCGAAAATAACATACTTCTAAATAAACGGCAATACAAAGTCTTATTGAATTTGTAATAAATATGCAACCCATTTTATATTGTTAATTGTTTATTTATGCATTCTATTAGCATTGTTTGAAGGAATGTTATGAAAAGTTGCTAATTGTAATCGAGTGGTCACCAATGTTGTTAAATATGTCGATAAACGATGACATAGCGGCGTTAAGAATCGCTTGAACGCAGTGGGTTCCAATTTTTACCCGACTGCGCCAGAAGGAGGGTTATGTTTTTCGAGTGTATGTATGTATGTTGTTATATTTCTTTGGCCGTGCGCCTACAGCCTAAACGGCATGACCGATTTTAGCGTGAGAGGTGTCGTTAGATTCGTCACACTGGCTATATTTTGAAGAAATCAGAATGACGGATTTTAGACGCCATAATGTCGTCAAAAAAATTTTTTTTTCTGAAAGCTATCGAGTGGGGTATGAAAATAAAGGGTTTTTAAGTAGCTTACAAAAATGAATGGTACTTAACTAAAAAGAATAAAATAAAATAAAAACAAGACACCTTAGTGTTCACAAATGCAGTCGGAGGTATCAAAATCACCAACAAAAGAATTAGTCATTGATGCCTCCGACTGCAATTTGTGAACACTAAGTCCTCTTGTTTTTATCTTTTTAGTTCCTTTTTACGCAGTTGGGATTTTGTTTTTTAAAAAAATTATTTACTTTTGGAGGAATTAACGTATTACTCTCAGATTCCCTTTCAAGAAGAATCTTCAGCATATTCGTGACGTGTCCACGCTGCCCAAGGCCATAGTCAAGTGCGGCACTGAAATGTACAAGCTTCCACCGCTGACGGCCGCATCCTGCATCATCACCTCGGGCTCCTTCATTCTGGACTTTAACATCCAAGGCATAAGGTTCAGACACCACGACTATCTTCTGGTAAGTCTCTAAATATATAACATTTAGTTTCAGGCTGCTTAGCAACGAGCGGGTTATAAAAGACACCGGTGGCTGTCGCTCGCTTCTGACACTCGAAATATGGCGGTAGCGCGCGATAGCCACCGGTGGCTGTGATGGGTGGCCAGACATACCAGACAGACTGCCAATAGAGATAGTGGATAAAGATAAAGATATTTATTTGCAAGAATAGGTAAGTACAGGTTATTGTTGATGTTACATGTATTAAGGACTCTATTCTGTTAAAATATATTAACATGCAAATTTACGGGTAAGGAATTCCCGAACACTGTAGAAACAAACAGTAGTCAGCCATTCCCGAAGCTTTTTCACCATCAATTTTGTAGGGCCATTTTTAAGAAGATGGAATTCGCATTTTTGGAAGATGCCGTGAACGCTTCGATCCATGACAGACTTTTAGCCTAGGCGCAGACCACCAATTTTTTGTTGGCCCATAGTTGGATCGGGCTGGTAATCAGTATGGAGATGTAGGAAAGTGCACACACTTCACCGATTTGGTAACGGTCGATTCTTCATACAAATTAAAATCGGGCCCAACTATCAGCCAACTAAAAGTTGGTGGTCTGCGCCTAGGCTTAGTTTGGTCGGCCTCTAATTTGTATGATAATAATCGTCGGCCGTTTGGTGTAGTGCCGAGAGGTCCCGGGTTCGATTCTCGGCCGGGCAGACATTTAAATGATGAATTTTAATTTCTATGTGGTGTTACTCTGTATAATATGTATGTATTTAAAAAAAAGTATAAGTATTATAATCCGTTGAGCTACTTAGCACCCATAATACAAGCATATAAGTTGCTTACTTTGGAGCTAGCTGGCGCTGTGTGTAATTGTCCAAAGATTTATTTATTATTTTTTAATCGAAATTGCTTGTTTAATTTTCCTCACCACTTCGTTATGGGCTTACTTTTGAGTTGTTTTTGTTTGGCAGTTGTTGCCCAACGGCCACACTTACTATACGAAGGAACCTTACTCCCCGCTCACGTGTGACCACCATGTCTGCGAGTGGAACAACACCAATTTCTACGGAGGTATGATTACGTGGAATTTAATGGCAAAACCGCCTTGTTGTTTCAAAGACTGCTGGGCAAAGGCCTCCCCTATGTGTAGGGTTGCCAGGTGTCCGGTTTAGCCGGACATGTTTGGCCTTTTACGGTCTTGTCCGGCCAAATATTGGCTTGTCCGGCCTGTCCGGTTTTTTTGACAAGTATTGTTTTTGATGGGATATTATTTATATGACACTAATTGCAAAAATGTCCGACATTTAGGGTAAAATGTCCGGCCAAATGAAGCACAGAGTCCGGCTTTTGTGTTTTTGGACCTGGCAACCCTATCTATGTGCCTTTTTCCTGTGATGCGGATTTCGGCACTAATGAAATGCTAAATCCGCATCACAAGAAGGCACTTACTAGGATATTTTTATTTTTCTTTAACTTTCGCTTTGCTTATTTAAAATTGTAGTTGTGTGTGTAGGAACACGGCCAAAACGTTAAGCGAAAAATGTATAAAACTCTGTGTGTCGAAACATTGCTAATATTAAGCATTTTATGAGCATGCAATCTTTTGTATCCGCTTTTGTAGAAAATGGGCCCTAGATATTAGTTATTAAATTTTTTTAGCGTTACGAGTCGCATCTCGGACAACATTTTTAATAACGTGAAAAAATCGAATTGCGTAAGGCAGGCGGGAATCAGACCCACATTTAAGTAGCTCAAATTGATGAGAGCAGTCACCCGGCAAGCAAAAGGCCGTGGATTAGATTCCTGCCTTAGACAATTCGATTTTTTCATGATTTCATTGTGTGATTGATTTAAAAAATAAATTATAGCTTATTTTTTTCGCAAGGTCCATTTATAATACCTGGTGATCCTGGCACGGGCTTGTCTCCGATACCGCCTTTCTTTGAACAAACCACCGAAGCCTACCGGCCGACCACCGAGTCTGGGAGTATTGATGGAGGCAATATTACGTGTAAGTTATTATTTTACAGTGTATTTCTGTCTGAACTGCTGATACATTACAGTTTTCGAGGCGTAAACTGAGCTTTGCATTTGTGTGAATGATCCCATCCCAGCCACGATAGCCGAACGGTGAAGGGTATGACTGGCCGACTCGTGATTCGGGGAACGTGGGTTCAGTCCTCAGATCATAGAAGTTTAGTTTAGTGTTTTCTATTCAAGATTCACTTGTTTTCTATTCCAGATCCACTTATTTTCTATTCCAGATTCCTTGGACGGGTGCTGGTTCATGTTCCCACCGAACTATGGCTCCATTGCAGGGATCAGCTACCTCGACCCACTGACTGTGAACGAATACCGGTATACGTGCCAAGGGTCGGGGAACAAGGTTCGAACCTCGCCGTATAATTCAAATACATAGTTTATTCAGTACATAAGCCCTTTCCAGGGCACTTATACACGTCCCAAATATAGCTTGCCCTGACCACCACTTCGGGACAACATATGGGCTGGTGTTGAGAAGTGGCGGAAGAAACTTAAGTCATCTTTGTCAGCCTCTTTTTCAATCAATTATAGTAATTTATAACTTACATGACACGTAATAAGTGCGAACTAGGCAGGTAAACTCATCATAATTTTAATAGTTTCTAACAAAACAATATTCTAAGCTGTTCCTTTAATCACCATTCATAGAGGAAAGAGGTGAATTGAGAAGCCTAAAAGCAGCACTTTGGCTGCACGGTTTTGAAAAATAATCATCGACAGGACCTGTTGTTGGCGCCAACTGCTGACGTCATGATCATTATCCATTACGTCACGTCCATTGTCCGTTCGCAGGGTCTGTACTGGTACCCGCAGTGGATGGGCGCGCCCCCCCACCACCCCTACCCGCGCTCCGACGACGCCCCGAACACACTCGAGCGCGGCGGCGGCGTGCACTACCCGCATAAGAGCGCACCGCCTCCCCTCAAACTACCCTCAAGAGAATGATCAATAAAACACACTTAACATAACATTTTTTACTTATTTATTACAATTCGATCCGTCGTCTACACTTGAATGATTATACCAACATAGTGTTTAGCTACCTACTTAATCTAATGACGACTGGTTGAGAATGACATTAATAAGGACGGAAGTGAGGACTTCTGCAGATATCTAATATTAAGTCGCTATAAGGCCTTACATCAGTGAAGACCAGTATACTGTCGTTGCCTTTCTTCAGAACAAAGCTGCTGACACCATACAACGTGTTGTTGTAAAATAAAAGTGCGCTTGATCTCAGATGTTTGAAATTGTCAACGTTTCTGATACAAATGAAGTAGCCCCAGTACCGAGGCATGTACTCTTCGCAATCTTCAATCACATTTTCGTCCTCATAAAATGCCTTTGACTTCATGTGGGTGTGCCTCCCTGGTACTTGTGTATTATATAAATAAGTGAGCTTTAAAGGTTGATCCAATAAATCTTCCTCAAACGCTATGGCCGTCAGCATGGGCCCGGCTACTCGGTAGCTGGCCCGATAGCCCACCCCGTACTGTCTGAATGTGTAACGGCCTGGAGTGGGGTTCAAAAATGACACTGGCTCTCCTTTTATTTTTAAAATCATCAAATCGTGTAGTGGGCTGAGTTGTTTTTGTAAACCATGCCACAGTTCGCTGGGTGACGTGGCGTTAGGCATCGGTATGATTTGATGAAACCAGTCTACTGGAAAAAAGTAAGTATGATAATGGCATTCAGCTTGTGTCACCCGTTTACGCCTATGTAAAGCGCGTACCCGTAAAGCATTTAAAAACGTAAAGTACTCGTGTTTGGTTAATTCATGTCTGTATGGGTTATATGTTGTCAAAACGTGTTGTTTAGTTATAAACACGCCTTGAGTGTAACGATTTTCGTAATACCGGTTTCTTGGATGTAAAAGGTGATTAAGACCAAATATTAAAACAACTCTGTCGTAAAATATATCCATATCTATGGGTTGTCCATTTCGGTCGGCACGGTCCACCCATCTGAATTGGCTGGTTACGGCTACTTCCGACACGTACCAGGAGGCAAGCAGCAGAACAATGTGTAGTTCGTTCCTAGAGACAACGAAAGAACTCAATAAAATAACTGGTATGGATGGACACACCTCAGTAAATACTTATTACTACACACAACACATCACATAGCCTTACTTTTGAAAAATACCTTATTATGAAATAGCTGTTTGTTTATAAAAACTATTGAATGTAACCAAAACTATAATGATATCTAGCGTTATTCTAGTACTAGTAACACGTACTCGTACTTGTGAGTTTTTGTGGTTTGTTTAATAATTATGTATCTTTGTAACTTTAAGAAAGAGCGGGCCTCCTAACACAGGTATTATACTTAAAAAGAGACCCCATTTTTTGCCGGACGACAAGTCCCTAAAAAGCTAAACATGTCCGGACTAAAGCCGGACACCTGACAACCCTAGCCCATGGTTAGGCCAAACCTCAGATCATATTCTCTTTCTATGATCTGAGGGCCAAACCTACGCGTGCAGCCTGCGTGCGTACACCATGGCGATCATGTCGCACTATGGATCGAAAATAGGTTTTATAGCCGGTTCACGATGTGTTAATGTACACACACCGGCAGATTTAGCGGAACGCAAAAAAAAGAATGAAAATAAGGAAAATTACTACTGATCTATGAAATATTTATTATACAAAATAAAGAGATAATTAAAATAAAATAAAATAACATAGATTTTTTAAATATTTAGTCGTTTTTATTTAATAAAAAATCATCGAAACGAAATTTCAATTTTTCAGTTTTGAACAAAAATTAGAAATTGTGGCCAGATTAAAAATTAGGGTAGCTTATCACTAACCAAATGAATTAATTAATGATGGGTATTTCCCCCTCTTGCTCTGATGATGGTTTCCATTCATCTGAGCATGCTGCAGTTAATGTTATGAAGGGTATTTTGGGGCAATGTCTGCCATTCCTCTAGTAACGCGTTTCTCAACACCACCGGTGGTATTCTGAGTTTAACACATCTTTTAAGAAAGTCCAAGACATGCTCTATAGGATTCTTGTCTAGGGATCTTGCCAGCCACTGCATCATGGGTATATCCAAATGGTTTAGATGTGCCTGTACTGAGCGAGCACTGTGAAAACGAACATTATCGTGAATTAAACTAAAGGAGTCCACAATAAATGGAGTAAATGGCACATCATGTTCTTCTAAAATGTTCCTAGTGTACCATTCAGAAGTCGTATTTCCTCCATCACCCACCACTAACTCCGTGCGAGCTCCCAAATATCTCCTAAACTATAAAACTTTAGCCATAGAAAGTAAGGTTCAATAATTAGCAAATTAATGACCTCCTCTATACGCCTATTAGCTATGGCGGGTTCAGTTCCAGTCACCCTGTATATGTAAGTAATATTGATAAGTAAGTAAAAATGTGAACCTAAGTTATGAAAATTTTATGAATACATATTATGTGATATAAAAGAGTACAAAATTAAAATAACTAAGTCCATAAACTATTGATTAAATATCCCTTAGTCCGTTCATTTAAAATAAGTCCAACGATTTAAAGAGTAAGGTTTATCGGAACTATTTAAGATATTGTTGATTTTGTTCCTAGAAATTAAAGAACTTTTATAAAAGTAAAACATACATTTTTATTTCATTTTAATTTCCATTAGTTTAGTTTCAGTATTAAAATTAATAATTCAATACGCCATTTCTCAAAAGTGGAAAAATGGACTTAGTGATTTATAGAATTGGAGCATCCAATTGGGATTGATGCTAATAAAACAGCCATGACGATGCAACTGACGTTTATTGTCTATGCCACAGATAATCAATCACTAAACTCTACTCTATGACATCTCTCTTCTTTTAATAAGTTTTTGAGAAGTAACTTATTTAATACTTATAAGTATAAGACACATCTTACGTAGAGAAGTAATACTTAATAATAAACATTTTTGATAATACTGTTTGCTTTGAGAAGTAAACTTATTTAATACTTAAAAGTATAAGACACATCTTACGTAGAGAAGTAATAATTAACAATAAACGTTTTTACTACTACGGTTTGTTACATTTGAGAATATTTTATTTGTTTAAATATTTCTATTCAAACCCATATCTTTGAGGTGGATGAACAATTCTACCAGTCCTAGTTCTACGATAAGGCGGCTGAGCAGCTTCCACCAATCCACTCTCTTCCGTTGTGGAAGTCTGCGCAGTCCCCGTTATCGCAGGAGCCACATCACTAGTCTGGTGATGCAGATTGTTTGTGGGAATGCTATCTAGGTAGTCATAGCGACCTGGTTTGTCTTTATGAACTGCTTTTCTTATATATGAACTATTTCTACGGTATGTACCACCGTTGTCCACTTTCACCCAATATGACCTATTAGCAGCCTTTCCTATAATGCTTCCTTTTTTCCACACACTTTCCTCCCTCATATACACTGTGTCATTTTTAGATAAATCCCTAGCTACTTTTGTGCCCTTATCATACTGCTTTTTCATGTTAATTATTCTTATCTGTCTGTCCTTTCTTAATGTTTTTGAGTCAATTTTTTCTGGAATTAAGTTTTTAGGTGAGACTGGCAATCTAGTATTGAGTGACCTACCCATTAACAACTGTGCGGGTGAATATTTTTCACCCGTAACTGGAGTATTTCGAAAATTGAGCAAAGCTAAAGTCCATTCAGTTTTATCTTCTGTAGCTTTTTTAAGTAAACGCTTTACGGTTTGAACATTTCTCTCTGCTAGCCCGTTAGAACGAGGATACAGAGGCGAACTAGTGACATGTTCAAATTCCCATTTCTTTGTAAATTCACGAAATTCAAACGACGTAAACTGCGTGCCATTATCTGTAACAAGTTTCCGAGGAATACCAAATCTAGAAAAGATACATTTCATTTTGTTAATCACCGTGTCACTTTTCATGTTCACTAACGATATCACCTCAACAAATTTCGAATAATAATCGACTACTAATAAATAGTGTTTGCTTTTAAATTCAAATATGTCCGCAGCGAGCACTTCCCACGGCAGGCGCGGTATGGGGTGCGGCGCGAGAGGCTCGCGCGGCGGTGTCGCGCGGTGGCGCTGGCACACCTCGCAGCGCTGCACGCACTCCTCGATCTCTGCGCCCATGCCCGGCCACCACATGACATCGCGCGCGCGCCTCTTGCACTTTTCTATTCCTAGGTGCCCCTCATGTATCCGGCGGAGCATTTCCTTGCGCATACTACATGGTATGACTAATTGGTTCTGGCGAAATAAAATACCATTTATAATGTGTAGTTCGTGCCTTACTCCCCAATACTGCCGCGCTGCAATATTGACCCGTTGTTTATTATCTGGCCATCCTTCATAGTAATACTTCATCACTGAACTTAGCGACTCATCTTTCTGAGTTTCTCTTTTAATTAATTCTAACTTTTCACTACTGGCATCTAAGTTTGAAAATAATGCATTAACGTGCACCGTAATGTCATCGGTTAGCTCCTCATCCCTATCGTTTAAGGCGATTAGAGTCCTCAATGACCTTGGGCGTTTGACCTTCACGCCGCGAGCAACACCCGCGTACCCCGCACCAAAAACTCCGATTTGACACCGATCAAAAATACACGGTCATAGGTANTTTTTTGTCACTTTCTAAGTTTTGAATTTTATGGAATTGGGAAAGAAGTACCGAGTTTGAAGCGTTCATGAGCAGACATTGCAGTTGAATATTCATGTTCTGAATTTGATTATTGATGAATAATAAAATAAATCCTACTAGCTCGATTGATGGTTTTTTAAACCAGGTTATCTTTAATAATATTTTTCGTTAATTTATGAAAATATCAAATTAGCCCGTAATCCTGGATCCTGATACATAAATTTAGCCTATTAATTTAACACATGTACGACTGTACTCAGTGTTGCACTATCAAATGCAATTGAAGCGCCTCTGTGCCAGGGTTTTTATGTTCCTGGTCAGGCTATATAGAGATAGTAATTTTATTCACAATTTCTATTTCAAAAAAACCTATTGATCTAAAACTGACAGTTTGGCTGGAAAAAAATATTTTCCTTTTTCGTTGGTATGGAATGAGACGGAAGTCACTTACTTACTAGGTTTATTTTTATTTTTCGGAACCATGTCATAGAACAAGCACGAACAAGTCTCATAGTCTTAATCAAGATCAGTCGAGACTTGGATAGTCGAAATTGACCACTTTCTGTCTCATTCACACAACGAAAAAGGATTTTTTTTTCAGCCAAACATCACTTTTAGAGATTTCATAGCGATTGCTTTAGTGGCTACGAAGTAGATAGGTAGGTATAAATCACAAAATAAAATGTTTAGTGTCATTTTTTGAAGATTTTTTTGTCAAAAACAATGTTTTTTTTTGTTATTCTTGAAAAATTTGGTTTATTTGTAATGATCGCATATTTTATCAGCTTTAAAAAAGGCTTTTGGTGAATTTTGTTAAAAAAAAAAAAACTACTGAAGCACTTTCAGGATCAGTAGGTACACCAGTTTTTAGTTAATAAAGGGATGTTTTAATAATCAAGGGAGATTACTTGTCGTTTCCACCCTGTATAACCAAACAGCTAATTATATTTTACAGCTTCATTCTTCAGATATTATTTACCAGGTAGGTAGTTCCTTTAAGTTACTACCTGGTAAATAATATCTTCGAATGAAGCTATTCATATTTTATAATTATGATTGAAGTTCACTTGGAAGTTCGTTTAACCGATTGAGTCCCAGACGGCATTAATTAATTAATGTCATAACAATTAGTCCAGTCAATAAAGCATTATAGATGGAAAACCGTGGAACACAATTTCTGACCTCGGGACTTTATTTAGACTAGTTAGGAGGTGAACATAGCAAAAGTCCCCGCCTGTAATATTTAGGAGTAATTGGGATTGATGTTAATAAAACAGCCATGACGATGCAACTGACGTTTATTGTCTATGCCACAGATAATCAATCACTAAACTCTACTCTATGACATCTCTCTTCTTTTAATAAGTTTTTGAGAAGTAACTTATTTAATACATATAAGTATAAGACACATCTTACGTAGAGAAGTAATACTTAATAATAAACATTTTTAATAATACTGTTTGCTTTGAGAAGTAAACTTATTTAATACTTAAAAGTATAAGACACATCTTACGTAGAGAAGTAATAATTAACAATAAACGTTTTTACTACTACGGTTTGTTACATTTAAGAATATTTTATTTGTTTAAATATTTCTATTCAAACCCATATCTTTGAGGTGGATGAACAATTCTACCAGTCCTAGTTCTACGATAAGGCGGCTGAGCAGCTTCCACCAATCCACTCTCTTCCGTTGTGGAAGTCTGCGCAGTCCCCGTTATCGCAGGAGCCACATCACTAGTCTGGTGATGCAGATTGTTTGTGGGAATGCTATCTAGGTAGTCATAGCGACCTGGTTTGTCTTTATGAACTGCTTTTCTTATATATGAACTATTTCTACGGTATGTACCACCGTTGTCCACTTTCACCCAATATGACCTATTAGCAGCCTTTCCTATAATGCTTCCTTTTTTCCACACACTTTCCTCCCTCATATACACTGTGTCATTTTTAGATAAATCCCTAGCTACTTTTGTGCCCTTATCATAATGCTTTTTCATGTTAATTATTCTTATCTGTCTGTCCTTTCTTAATGTTTTTGAGTCAATTTTTTCTGGAATTAAGTTTTTAGGTGAGACTGGCAATCTAGTATTGAGTGACCTACCCATTAACAACTGTGCGGGTGAATATTTTTCACCCGTAACTGGAGTATTTCGAAAATTGAGCAAAGCTAAAGTCCATTCAGTTTTATCTTCTGTAGCTTTTTTAAGTAAACGCTTTACGGTTTGAACATTTCTCTCTGCTAGCCCGTTAGAACGAGGATACAGAGGCGAACTAGTGACATGTTCAAATTCCCATTTCTTTGTAAATTCACGAAATTCAAACGACGTAAACTGCGTGCCATTATCTGTAACAAGTTTCCGAGGAATACCAAATCTAGAAAAGATACATTTCATTTTGTTAATCACCGTGTCACTTTTCATGTTCACTAACGATATCACCTCAACAAATTTCGAATAATAATCGACTACTAATAAATAGTGTTTGCTTTTAAATTCAAATATGTCCGCAGCGAGCACTTCCCACGGCAGGCGCGGTATGGGGTGCGGCGCGAGAGGCAAACAATCACTAAACTCTACTCTATGACACTAGTTAATTTTATACTGTGTGTAAATTGGAACGTGTAATGTAAATCACTAGTGTTGCAGCGCTGCGGTTTCAGTAGGTTTAGAAATTCATTTAAAAAAAAAATCATTACTCATAATGAAATAAACAAAAAAAACAAAGAGTTTTCGTTATAAATGTGCGTGGCATTTAAATTTTTAAAATTGTATTTTATTTGAAATAAGACTATTTTTTAGATTTTCAATGTTTTTATTGTTTTAAAACTATTGAAATATTAGAATCGATTTTCGATTATTCAATCTCATTTTGACATATCAAGCACTTCATTCACCACATCACTAGTCTTTTTCCGGTGCGCAAGGTAAAGTGTCAAACGTTTCGTGATCAAATTTTCGCTATCTTGAGATATTTAAATAATCTTTCGGGATATTGTGATTGTGTTATTCTTTATAAAATGTGGAAGTTATATTCAATCTACTTTAATCCGTATTTCAGGTCGGCAAACAGTTATAAATCATGGCTGATATTGAAGTGTAAGTATTGTTATTTTTCGGTGTATCTCTTTCCCTTTGTCTATAAATTTGTTCTGAATTACTCTTCTATGTTCTCTAAGTTAGTTTTAAACCAGTAATTTATTTATAAATTGTCCAAGAACATTGATGTAAACATGTTATCAACATAACCTCAGAATGTTTAGAGGTTAGCTGTCTTCATGCTTTTATTGAGCCTGTTTTACTGTCACCATGCTAACTGTGGCTCCTATATGCCTCCTCAACGTTATTTTTACAGCTTTAGTGAATATATTCTCTTATTTATGTGTACTTTTCCTACAGTGAAGTGCCCGTGAACCCCGTCTTGAGCGGAGGTGCTATGGACGTGAACACAGCCCTCCAAGAGGTTCTGAAGACCGCCCTCATCCACGGTGGACTCGTCCATGGTCTCCACGAAGCCGCCAAGGCCCTTGACAAGTATGTACATCTTTGTTTACATGTGAAATGCACATAGTATAGCTTCAACACATGCTGCTAATTAGTAGTACGTGGTATATTTTGATTCAAGAGCAATAATTCCCTTGAAACTTGAGTTTGAACAGCTGATTTTGTGGGTTTTTTCAAAAGTATGAAATTGTGCACTTAGTGATACAATAGGTGTAATTAAAAACTTTCTTTTTGTATTATTTATCTTCTAGTTTTTTAACATTTGTAAACTTGTGTAAAACAAAGTAATGCATAACTGTAAGAAAGCCTGTGAAAGTCAAATTTCAACAAAGGAGACTTTCAATGGGTGCTTTCTGAACTCACCAAATAAAACTTAGGATAAATGAAGCCTTTAATTGGTCTAAATATATTGATTGCATCATAAGCTTGAATCTATACCCTTGAATTTGTGAAATATTTTTCTGTAATGTTTATCAAATTAGGCAACAAAGTTCCTCACAAACATTCACACAGTGTGTGGCTGTTCTAGTCATATGCTATGTGGAAATATCTACTGTAATATTCAAGTTACGCTGGATACACTCTGTTGCCAATAACAAATGCACATACATAGTACCACAGTGCTTGTTCAACAACTTTGTGGCCTCCCAAGTGTGCTACAATACCAATATTGTATAAAAGAATCTCTTAGCCTTTATAAAGAAGCTTCGGCTATACACAGGTGATTATTTGGTGCTCAAACAAAGAAGGTTGATTCTACTACTCAAGTACATCTTATTTTCCAACATATTAATTTGGATATTAATCTCGCAAAAAATAGACATCCTCATACTAAATGACTGATTGCTGATGACAATTTGCATGGAAAGGTTTTTTTTTTTGGAATATTTAAACATTTATTGGGAAAAGATGTTTCATTTGAGCACTTGAATCAATCCTTTTTGATTGACCAACGAATCATAGATATGATAATTGAAACTAAAGCTAAGATACCTCTATCCCATTATCTATTTATATATGGTCTATTTATCCCATTATCTATTTATATTTGATCGCCTGGATGATCAAAGTGGACTCCAAGTGACAATTTGGTGTCCTTTGAACACCCACAGATAAGATGTCCTGGGTGATCAAAGTGGTTTAATTATTATTTTAGTTTCCTTTGATCTCCTATACATAAATTACACCTCTGAAAAGTGGACCTATTTTATATCTAAACAAGTTCTGCCAGGCCAGTCTTAACAGAAACCTAATGATTTGACAGGAGGCAAGCTATGCTGTGTGTCCTCGCCGAGAACTGTGATGAAGCCTCCTACAAGAAGCTAGTTCAGGCCCTCTGCAACGAACATCAGATTCCTCTCGTCAAGGTAACTATTTAATGTTTTGTTCATGCTGGAATATATCAATGATTATTTATACAGTAGAATCCCGATTATCCGGATAAAAAAAACCAGGGGTATTCCGAATAATCGAAAATCCGGATAATCGATTTCAAAGTGAAATCAAACTAAACTTTTTTACTGTAGAAAAAGTTCTACATACATCATTTAGACCATTTTGGGTGAATTCATTTTTAACAATGAACCAAGGCGCCATGCAGTATTGATGGGTCCAGACCCTAAATCGGTAATTAGAGCTGTAAAAAATGTGTCCAGATAATTGAGATTCTACTGTATTAAAATAATTCTTTCTAAAGACAATCCAGCGCTCCGCACGAGCCACTACAGCCCATGCTTTGGTTGGCACAAGGAGCGCAGAGTGAATTGTGTGCCCCTATGGTGACCTGCACCATGCAGAGTCAACTTTCCTAGCACCCATACATTTATTAATATTTTCTACCATACATGTTCTTTTTGGGATTGATGATAATTTGACGATGGAAGTCATTGCTAAAACGGTTCTAATGTTACACTAATTATAATTATTCAATTTAATGATTATTTATTGAAGACTAATTAAATATGGGTCGATCATTTAAATATCAACGTTTGAACTATTTCAGGTTGACAACAACAAGAAGTTGGGCGAATGGGCCGGTCTCTGCAAGATCGACAAGGACGGCAAAGCCAGAAAGATTGTCGGCTGCTCGTGCGTGGTGATCAAAGTAAGTCTGGTATCTATAATATAAAAATGAATCGCAAAATGTGTTGGTAAGCGCATAACTCAACAACGCCTGGACCAATTTTACTAATTCTTTTTTTTAAATGTTTGTTGAAGTCCAAGGATGGTTTTTACAGCGAGAAAAGTTTAAATAATTACCGGGTAAAGCCTAAAAAACTCGAAACTTCACCTCTAAGGGTAAAACGGGGTCCACGCGTACGAAGTCGCGGGCGGCCGCTAGTTTATAATAAAATATTCTGTTTAGCGGTTTAGCTTTAGAACCAGTGAGCAATATGGGGAAAGCTAGATTATAATACCCAGTTTTATAGTAATTCTAGTAGTCACGAGTTGGCTTCAGGTTAGTGTGCCACCTGACTGTCGAATTCCTCCTATGTTCGCGCTATTTCGAAGTTCATAAATCTAATGTAGGTTGCTGCAACGTCAACGCCCGTGTGGCATCTCTCTAAAGGCTTGTACTTGATGAAATAATGCCGTCTATTGCCCCCCACATTGTCTTTTACTGACGGACGGAACGTCGCGAAAGGAGTTGCGATATCCGCAAGTGGTAGATAATGCTACTGGAATCTTCAAATGGACTAACGGAAAATAATGTACATTTCTTTGTATCTACGGGGAATGTACTACTGAATGAAGTTAGCAATTCGTTTTGCTATGCGCTTAGCACGAACACTAGCAGTTTTTATAAGTTGTTAGTGTACATTTAATCGGCGCTATATCAACTGAATGACCCTATGGTGTCGTGTTACTTGCACAGGCTACCTTCCTATCACTCAAACATTTCTTGCAAGACTCATGAAAATTTACCCTGAAAATTGATCGATATTTCTAGGGACAATAAAAGCTATGTTAGTAAATAAATAAGTGTCTAGGATTTTCGATATCTGGCTTATTCAAGCAATGAATGATTTTGTTTCCAGGACTTCGGTGAAGAGACACCAGCGTTGGACGTGCTCAAAGACTACCTCAAGTCGTCGAGCTAATTCCTAGGTGTAGTCGCTAAGTTTTAAAAATAAAAATCCAAAAAAATTGAATTTCTTTTTATTACTATCCAAGTTACTTTCAATAACACAATCATGGGCTTGTGTTTGTGTTGTTTCAACCTTAGGTAACATTTTTTTCGAAAAGTACACAACTATAGCCCTTAGTATACATACATAAATAAAACTATATAATTACTATATTGCTAAAATAAGAGGAAACTACAGAAAAGTATAGGGATACGACAGCCTTATTTCTCTCGTCTTAGTAAAAAAACTTAAACAGCTAGGTTGGCGAACTGATCGCAGATATCTTTGTGTTTCGGCCATTGCTGCACTTGGCATTCCCTGAAAATTAAAACATGAGTAGGTAAGCATTTTGTTATAACTATAATCGCGAAATAAATAGACCAAAAGGGCGTTTTTGACCAAAATGGCATAGCGCGCATAGTGGTGTGCTCAGGCCCTAAGTTTTACTTCCAGCTAGGTCCATGCATCCAGCACACTGAAATGGAACCCTGATGACCCTGACGGATCAAATACATCTGCTCATGGCAAACCTTCATCATTCATTGCATCATGATAATTATTCTCTAGCTTCTACACTCACCTGCCACAGTACCACTCGCTCTTACACCTAGAGCATTTCTTGCTAGCCTTGTCGCCGCACTTAGCACACTTAGCTCCGCCGCTGTCCAGAGCCAACGCCGCATCACTGGTGTAGGACTCCACGAGTTTCTTGGCCACGTCGCGGGACTCCTCGGAGCCATTCAGAAAGAATCGTTCGATGTGCAGCTTGGCAAGCTGCTTCGTGCGTTTGTGGACTTGTTTTAGATACTCATCTTTGATCTATGGACAAACCAAAGTACATCGGATAAGAATTACAGATAAAAACTGAGTTTTTTCTTAGCATTCAAATTCTACACACTAGTGTCTGGTACTGTAAGAGATACAGCATAATTATCAACCAAACTTAAATAATGGCTGTTATTTTATTTCTTTCAAAACAGTTATTTCTAAAAAAGCTGCAGTTATGATTATAGTCATTGATTACTTCTAAAGCCTGGTCCGTGAGCAAGTAGAATCCCGTCCAATGACCCCAAGCTGCCCATCCTTGTCGCTCGCACGTAATTATGTTGCGGGCGCGCGTCGCACAGTCGCGACAGCAATACATGGGTCATTGGACGGGATTCTACGTGCTCACGGACCAGGCTTTACTTGTAATTTTATTTTATTATCGAAATGCTTAGGCACTCTTAAAATTACAGAAAAATCTAAATTATAAAAGATCCTTTATTTCTGTAGAACGGAGAGTGAATTTGTAAGAGTTACAAAATGAAAATTATTTTTTTTTACATTAAAATAGAACAGTATTTAATAAAAAATATGTCTTTTAAATAAAAAACATTTATTATAATAACTATTATGTACCTATTTAGTTATAACTTATTTTTACTTTCCAGCTCACTTTTTAAAATTGCAATTTTTAAAAGCCTTTCTTCTTTTTCCAATTCAAACAGCTCTTTTTTATAAGTCATTTCATCTTTCAGCATCTGTTTTTTTAATAACTTTTCTTGTAGTTCCTCCTCAATTATTTTTTTCCGCAACTCTACTACTTCTAGTTTTGCTTCCACTAATTTATCAAAAGGCCTCTTTTCTTGGGGTTTTTCTGAAACTAAAATTAATTGTTAAATAATAAAATATAATGCTGTAAGTTTGTAATAAAAGTTGTTTATTATTAACACACATTTACTTACCCATATTTTGATCTGAATTACTACAACTTTCGCTATCTTCAATGGACAAAGAAAGCATACGTTTTACTTTTTGCTCGGCTGGTGTTAAAGGGGGTACTTTATTTATAGAACTACCATTCTCATTTTGCTGTGCAATGTGGTTCGCTTTCTTTCTGGTGTCTCTTTTGATAGCTTCATATTTTAATTTAAGATGCCTGGCATCTCTATAGACGCCGACACCGCAGCTGTTGTACTCAAATTCAATGGCTTTCCACGCTTTTTCTTTTTCTTGCCAAGTCGCAGCGTCACTTTTCTTATTTTCTATAATATTTTTATAAGTTTCTATGAGAGAGATAAGGTTTTCGGTCTCCTCACGAGAAAAGTTCGTATTTCGCTCTCGTTTCATGTTTCTTTCCATCATTTGAATTCGTAACTTTTATTTAATTAAAGAACGAACACCTCTTAAGTTATCAATGATTGTAGAAAATTTGTAAAATACACAACACTAAATCAAAGTTTTATTTAATTTCAAAGCAAAACAAATTGAAAAAGCGAGCGACTGCTATTTATTTAGCTGTCATCCAATGATAAGAAATGTCAAATGATAACAACAGTGCATCAAACGTTCCTTTTTTGGCGTCGTCGCTCAACTACATATTTGTTTCACTTATCAGTTTTTATTTTCTTAAAATTAATCAATATTAACATCTCAAAAGCCATTAAGTAGTAAAATTAGAGATATACTAAGCAATAAAAATATTTTTCCTCGTTTTAAGTACTATTTTATTGAATTTGCGTAGTAAAATTAATAACGAAATTGCATGTAAAGGAATGTTATCCATATGTGTGATGCAGATATGGATTAGAGGTGTGATGGAACACCACATCGCGTTGCTGATGCCGCGCAGCAGCGATAGGCCAATCATACAGATAGTAGATAACATGCAGATAACGAGATAATGGGGGCTGGATCAACGATATTGGATATTCTAGATTAATCTAGATAAACTGCCAGCGCTGCGAAAATTCGTACTACCCTCGCACCGTGCTTGCACACCACTAGGTATGTAGTCTGTGGTGAAAGAAGACGCGCGCGAACCACGATCTTATTCAAATTAAGCCGAAGTGCTCCGTAAAGAAATGCAAAAACAATACTATGACGACTCTAAAACACGTTTATCGTAAGCAAAATTAGTCTTAAAATTGTAAATCGAACAAATCATTCCTTCTCGGTGCAGCACATCAGGGACAATAGGCCCTAATCCTCCTAATAAATGAATCCACAATTTTACAGTAAATTCGAAATAGTTACGGCGAGTGGGGTGGCGGTTAGTTCAAATTCTTATCGGATATCTCATATTTACTGAAGCTATACTTTGAAGTTAGAAGGGAGATCAATCCAACCTGCGGAACCAGCGCAATGAGCGTGCAGCCTGGGCCTCCTCTCACGCCGTTAGTGCGGTTGTGCAAGCTGGAGTAGTCGCCGACTGACAGCCGACACAGGAACGTCTTCAGGTCTATCAGAGGCGGGATCTGGTCCAACATGTCTTCCGTCAACTTTGCTTCCAGCTGAAAACGGAGAAGAGGGCAGTTAGCAGACACCATAGTNCGATATCACTTCAACAAATTTCGAATAATAATCGACTACTAATAAATAGTGTTTGCTTTTAAATTCAAATATGTCCGCAGCGAGCACTTCCCACGGCAGGCGCGGTATGGGGTGCGGCGCGAGAGGCTCGCGCGGCGGTGTCGCGCGGTGGCGCTGGCACACCTCGCAGCGCTGCACGCACTCCTCGATCTCTGCGCCCATGCCCGGCCACCACATGACATCGCGCGCGCGCCTCTTGCACTTTTCTATTCCTAGGTGCCCCTCATGTATCCGGCGGAGCATTTCCTTGCGCATACTACATGGTATGACTAATTGGTTCTGGCGAAATAAAACACCATTTATAATGTGTAGTTCGTGCCTTACTCCCCAATACTGCCGCGCTGCAATATTGACCCGTTGTTTATTATCTGGCCATCCTTCATAGTAATAATTCATCACTGAACTTAGCGACTCATCTTTCTGAGTTTCTCTTTTAATTAATTCTAACTTTTCACTACTGGCATCTAAGTTTGAAAATAATGCATTAACGTGCACCGTGATGTCATCGGTTAGCTCCTCATCCCTATTGTTTAACTCGGTCCCGCTTGCCGCTCGAGATAACGCATCCGCTATATGCATTTCCTTACCTGGTTTGTATGTCACATGCAAACTATAAGCTTGCAACTTCAATAGCATTCTTTGTAACCGTGGTGGTGTTTCATTTAAAGGTTTCTTAACCCTTAACTGGTATCGTAAATTGGACATACGTAACTGGTATCGTGGGGGCCGCGCGGCCCCCATACTATATTTGCTTCGAGTAAGCATGTTTTACCTATATACTTGAATAAATGCTCATAAATGATATATCATCATCATCATCATCAACAGCCCTTTACAGTCCACTGCTGGACTATGAGCCTCCTCCACTATGGTGGAGGGATTTGCCATAATCTCCACGCTTGGCAGGCGGGTTGGAGATCGCAGTTTAAAAGATTGATGTTTTTCAGAGAGCGCTGCTGCCCATTCTCTGTTTGTTGTGTAGTCCCTAAGTCGCCTCTTACGACACCCGCGGGAAGAGTAGGGGTTGGTGACAAATGTATTCTACTCTGCCGTCACCACACGGCGATGTAGACCAAATGATATATATCAGGCTTTTTCTATGTAATCATTTAGTTTTTATTGTAATTAATCTTCTTACTTATATACTTCAAGACATTACATAATAGTAACAACTTTTTACGTAATATTTTTTTAACGTTACAAATATCTATTAAACCTACGTTCAGAAAAATATAATCAAAAATATTATTATCTTAATTAATCCATAAAAATGTGAACGTAATAATAAATAAAGTTTTAATGTAATGTTTAATAAAAATAATAAGTATTTTATAAAAATAAAAACATAAATATTATGTTGACAAACATTAGCAGGTGCTGGTGGATTTTCAGACCACTTGTATTTATTTTTTCATAATAGCTGGATTGACTAGGTCCTAGAACATCTTCATTTTCACTCTCTGAAGAAAAAACTTGAAAATCAGAATCAATATCCTCATTATCGACCGAATATTGTTTATTGGGTCTTCACAATGACCTATAATTTTATTATCACTATATCCTTCTTCTGACATGCTACTAATCACTAATTTGGAATGAAAAACTTCGTTCTAGGTATCTTCTATTGTTTTATCACTAATAAGCCATCAATACTGCAAGAAAACAAAAACAAATAAAAATTGCCATGAAAAAAAAAACTAACGTAACTGGTATTGTGGGGGCCGCGCGGACCCCAACACATGCATATCTTCGTCCTGGTGAATGATGCAGTGCTGAAACGCCTGCACCAGACGCGAGTAGCGCCGAAATGAGAATACCAAAAATTTTGGCTGCCCACGATGCGTAGCTTCTTAGAAATCAAAGAAAACGTCATGCGTAGGGGCCGCGCGGCCCCCACGATACCAGTTAAGGGTTAAATATAGTTTCAAGAGGTTTGTGATCACTTTCAACAAAAATCTCATTATGGCCGTAAATAAATTGGTGGAACCTTAAACAGCCAAAAAGAATTGCTAACATCTCTTTTTCTATTTGCGCCCAGCGCTTTTCTGTCGGGGTGAGCGTGCGCGCCGCGTACGCCACGGGCCGCCCGCCCTGCAGCAGGCACGCGCCCAGCCCCTCACTCGACGCGTCCACGCTTAACGTCACCGCCTCGTGCGGCGAGTAGTACCGCAATACGGGGGCACTACTTACCCTGTTTTTGAGTTCATTGAACGCATTTTCATGAACTTCTAGCCACTCAAATATTACTTCTTTTTTAAGTAAAGATCGCAAGGGAGACGCCAATTGTGAATAATTAGGAATAAATCTTGACAAATAATTAGTCATACCCAGGAAACGTTCTAAGTCTTTCTTGTCACTTGGCCTTGGTATATTTTTGATAGAGATTATTCTCGTGCCTGTTGGACTAATACCTTTGCTGTTAAAAGTGTGACCCAAGAATTGTACCTCCGACTTCCCAAATGAACACTTTTCTTTATTGAATTTGACACCAAATTTTTTAGCTCTTTCTATTACCTCCTGTAACCTCATATCATGCTCAATTTTAGTTTCACCCCAAACTAGTAAATCGTCAGCGAATACTTCAACCCCTGGCATAGAAAATATTTTATACATTTCATTATGGAATATTTCTGGAGCACAATTGATACCAAATGGCATTCGCAAGAAACGGAACCTCCCAAACGGTGTAGCAAAAGTGCACAGCTTTGAGCTGGCCTCATCCAGCTTTAGCATCCAAAACCCGTTTTTAGCATCTAATTTAGAAAAGTACTTGGCACTAGTAAGATTGCTTGTTACCTCTTCTAGTGTTGGCAGCTGAAAGTGACAACGGCGTACTGCTTTATTTAGGTGATGTGGATCTAAACAAATTCGCAATTTACCAGGCCGCTCGACTATAACAATATTAGAAACCCAGTCTGTGGGTAAGTCCTCCTTTACAATAATGCCTTGAGCTTGCATTTTATCTAGTTCATCTTTCAATTTGGGAATAATTTTTATTGGAACTTTTCTTGAGCTGTTAACCACTGGAGACACATTTTTATCTATTTCAATTTTATAAATATATGGTAAACAACCAATGCCCTCAAAAACAGTTTCATCAATCTTACAGTTTTTTAGCTCATCAATATTATAAGATCTTGACAACAAATTGAGCTCACAACATGCATTCAGCCCTAAGAGATTGCTACACTTTAGGTTCAAAACATAAACTTTTTGTTTACATTGCCTATTTTTGTGCCGCAATATTGGCTCAAAATATCCTACAACTGGCAGTTTAGATTTACTAACCTCTCTTATTATAGCCTGATTCTGATTAAGTAAACTTTCACAAAATCCTACTTTCTTAAATGCCTCCAGTGACATGACAGATACCTCAGCTCCGCTGTCTAATTTAAAGCTCAATTTTTTATCATTTACAAATATATCATTGTACCAAGCATTTTCATTGTCACTAACTTCATCAATTGATAAAGTACACAGCAATGACTCACGTAACTCGGCGCAGTCCTCTCGATCCTCAGACTCATTCAACTGATTCAACTCACTTACTTGCCTAGATCTACACATTTTAGCAAAATGACCGAATCGCTCACATCGATAGCACTTCACATTACGAGCCCAACACTTGTCACTGGCACTATGATTGCGACCGCACCGATCACATTTAGCCGCTGCCTCCCTCCTGCGCTCCTGCTGTGCTGGGGGACGCGGCTCTCGCCCGCGCTGCTGCTGGCGCGCCCCGAAGGCACGCGCGCGCACCTCGTCCAGCGCGAGGTCGGCGCCGGTCGCGGCCCGCGCGGGGCCCGCTTCACCACTGCCGCCCATGCACCGTTCCGCTTGCTTGCTTGCTGTTTCTGCTGCACGACACCACGACACCGCTTCCTCCAGTTCCAATTTGGGTCTAGTTAACAATCTTTCCCGCATGTCGTTGTCTCTTATCCCTCTAATAATTTGCGTGAGTATCAAGCTGTTACGAAGTTGACCAAACTCACATGACTTGCTTTGTAGTTTAAGCGTGCTCAAAAATTTGTCGAATCCATCTTCTCGCTGGTATGTTTCAAAGAAGACATGTCTCATGTAGTTAACGTTGCGACCGGGATCACAGTGACTGGCAAACTTTGTCACCAGCACATCGTAATTTGTCTTGGCCTCGCGGTCCAATTCCAGTTCCTCCAATATGTCCCGCCCGCTTTTGCCAATTACGTGCATAAACAGAGCTCTAGAAGTTGCCGTCTCTTTGCCGATGGCTATCATATAGTAATCGAAAGCCGATTTCCATTCCCTCCAATTTGTTGCTATGTTGCCCTCGTCCGACATGGCGGCCGGCTGCTGCCACATCGTGTACAACGCTTCACTTTTTATGTTGTGATGAGTTGCTTCCGTCATTTTCCACGTATTTTATTATAGCTTGTCAATCCATACACCCATTAGTTACGCTTCTACCACTTTTACTAGTAAATTCACACCTGACACCATGTAGTATTTAGGAGTAATTGGGATTGATGTTATTAAAACAGCCATGACAAAGCAACTGACGTTTATTGTCTATGACACAGACCATCAATTACTAAACTCTACTCTATGACAAAGGTGATGGTATGGTTGTGCTAAAAACGGTAAAGGTAAAAGGGTAAGTAATGGTAATAAAAGGTAATAGTAATCAGGTACCTAAGAAAGAACATTCAGAGGTAGAATCTTGACATAGCTCTTCAGCTGTGTATGTTAGGTAGGAAGACATTCAGTGAGAGAATCTTACCATGGGTCTTGAGCTGAATGTGTTAGGCAGAACAAACGGTAAGAGAATCTTACCATGGGTCTTTGGCGGCCGAGTGTACCGCTAATTTATTTGTATAGAAGGAGTGCGAGGAAGAAATAACAACGCAAAGTTACGAGTGATAGTCGCGTCAGCCGGTAGGTATAGTGTAATGTGTGACGTTCGGGAGACACAATAAAACAGTTAGATGTGCGCACTGTAGGTTTAATCGTAGTAGAATGAATATTATCCTAAGCTTATATACTAGTGGTTTGCCTAATACGGGGAAAGGATGCGTACACACTACACCTCCCCCCCTTTTTTTTTGAGAAAAAAAAAACGATTTTTTTTTTTTTATGATTTGATTAAAAAAAGTTATACAATACAATAATAATTTTGATTTTAAATAAGAATTCAAACCAAATTAAATTTTGTAAATTCCAAATAATTATGTATGTTTATAGACACAATACTAATATTTCATTAATATGATTGAAATTATATTGATAAAATACATTTTCAAATTGGCT